CAGCAGGAAGTTCTGGGCGCAGCTGAGCCGCGTGTGCCCTGCCTGCAGCACCTCGCACAGGGGAAGATGGCGGCACAGAAGAAGATGGCGGCACAGAAGTGCCTCGGCCGGGGAGTGCCACAGCCGCGCCGTGTGGCCAGGGGTGCCGAGCTGGAGCAGAGAGATGCTGCACGAAGGCAGGGGCTGGCCACCATCCAGCACACTGGCTCCTCGCCCGCTGAGCGCCACCTAACCTGGCACAGCTCGAGCGTGAGCTCCTGCCCCCAGCTGTGGCTGAGGCAGCCAGACAGGGGGCTTGGGGGCTGCTGGGGAGGCTGCCAAGCACTGGCTGCTGTAGCACAGACCTTCAGAGCTTGGAAGACAAATGGGTGTGGCGTTCTGTTCCTCCCCAGAATGAGAGTTTTTGCCTTATATCAAAGGCTGGCCAAGAAACAGCACCTAAACCCAAGTTACTTGGGCTCTAGCACGGGGGATGATTTTTTCCTGTTAAAACTATTGTGTGGGTGGGTTGCTGGTGCTACAGGGGGGAATTCGGAGAAGATGCAAGACTAAAACCTGATCTACATTTTGACCCGCTTTGCTGAGGTCTTTATTTAGAGCCATGTTCATGCTGTTCCTTTTGCTTTTCATTTGCCTAGCCGGCATAGCAGGCCCTGGTAGCTGGGCAGGACCTTGCAGGGGGCATGCTGTTCCTTTCCCAGGTGGTACTTCTCCTCCATCCTCATACAGAGATTAACATTTAACTCTTACCTCCCTCATGTGTTTGGCCTGCTTTGTTTCTCCTTTCCATTCTCTCGCACTATAACCAAGTAGATCAACTTCTGTCAGCACGCTGAGATTCCCTAAATCAAGATTAATTCACAGATTAGTTACCTTCTGCTGTTCCGCATCTAAGGGCAGTTGCAGGGGGTGGGGGGGTGTGTCAATGAATATAGAATGACAACAAAAAGATTACGTATGAGTCTTCTCTGAAGGTAGTTACTCCACCTGAAATCCAAATGATAAAACAGGTGTAAATGGAGTTGCCAAAGGTCAATATTTACTGAAATAAGCAACAGCGTGGAAGATTAAAGTCTGCCTAATAAAAACCTACCGTTTCAGCAGCTGTGCTAAAAAGCTGTATAGCCTTCTGCAATACCAAAAAACAGCAACGAGGAAAGACATGCTTAGCATAAGCTGCACTTTCACTTTTTGCCACATGAGACACAAGGATTGCTTGGTGGCTGTTGTCCAGGACCGCACCTCATGCCTTCCTAAAATAGGGACAAAGACAGGAAAAAAATCTTGTCACTGTTTTGCAATACTCCTTTCTGTTTGTTTTCTTACAAAAAGAAAAATCATCCAAGTAGGATATGACTCCAAATAAAACACAAAACGTGAAATATAAAAGGTGAGTATATTTTTATATACTTAATATATATACTTAATATACTTAGTTTTTCAAGTTCTTGAGTTTTGGGTACATGTGGTTCATATTTCCAAGCTTTCCTCCACACAGTGAAGGCTAGATATATAGTTACAACGGAGTCACAGGAAGACTGATCTCAAAGTAACTGTTCAATAACCAAAAAAATATTTATATTTTTTGCTTCAGCATGGGCTGATCCAGAGACCTGTACAGTCATTACTTTGTGACTAAGGCCAGGCTTTAAAGACCTGGGGTTCCTGGGAGTTGTAGTCTACAAACAGACCATATAAGGCAATATTAGCTGACTAAGCATCATACCACTGCCCGGGGAATTAAACAAATGTTTCTGCCTCAATTTGGTTAAGTTTAGGGTCAATGTAAAACTCCGGAGAAAGCTCCTCCCCAGGGATTTGGTGGAAAGCTCAGCAGATCATCACAAAGAGGATGCGCTCTCACTGTTCCTTACAGACATAAACCAGGACATGTTTCTGTCACTCTCTTGGCATTACAGGCAGGATTAGGGAAGATTTCGGTTGTCTTTTGTTCATAAGAAAACCTAGAATTGAGAGAGGGCCTGGAGGCTGAATAGTTGGTCAAGGCAGTATCTGCTCCCTAAGTGAGAAATTACCCTCTGAAATCTGAATATAGGAAATTCCCAGAGTTTACGATCAACAGCTGCTCTGTTACTAACTTATTCATTGATTTAGTACAAAACTTTAAGAGAACTCAGCTTTTTATAAAGGCATCCCCAGAGAAGGCTGAAAAGATCCTTCTCCAGAGAGTCCATAAAGGGAATTACTCATTCAGCATAGTTTTATGTCAGTTGAACTTCTGCCTCTCCTGACTTTAACAGGAAATTTAAGAGGGGTTTAAGTTTTCCAAGGAAGTTAAGCCCATGCACTGTGGACAACTATCCAGTCAAAGAGTTACATATGAATCCCATTCCTGGCAACGAGATAAACAGCTATGCACACATTTTTACAAGCACTGTTGCATATATACAGAGCACTGCTGATATTTGGCCTTTTCCAATATTCTGTTGTTTGAAGAATTTTTATTACAGGATGTCATATGCAAGTTCTCCAGAGGCAAGACCCAGATGTCATCTCTCCCATGACAAAAGGCAGGTTAAGAGCTGTAAATGAAAGGGTGATAATAAACTTTAAAGAGGTAATCAGAGAAGCTTTTGGGGTGCTAGTTCCCATTCACACAAAACCTGTATGCTGTGAACACAGAAGACGATGGATAGGTCTTCTGTCAGCTTCTACTCGTAGGCTGCACTGACGTGTGCGCCCCTGGCACGACTGGGGTTTATGCCTGCACATGCTGAGTAGGAAAAAGCAAGACATGCCTTCACACAAAACCAAAAAGACCAAAAATCTGAAGCTGCAGAAAGCATTTATTACTGATGCCAAGTAACAGGCAGCAAAACATCAGCTGTAAGGTTTGAAAATGGCATAGCTCATGGAAACACCAGGACACTCCCGCTTGCAGCACACACACACGCAGTTGCTGCTGATGGACACCAATAGGCACGTTCTCGATACGCACCCAAACTGCTACCTACAGAACAACAACTAGGAATTAGTAACAGACAACAGTCATGGCAGAATCAAGCCACTGCAGTTTTCCCTCTCTCTTCTTTAGGATAAAGGCATCATCATTGAAAAAGCCTTAGTAGACTGTAAACAACTGAACCTTCTGCTAACTGGAATGGAACCTGGAGGCTTATAAATGTTGTTCAGCCTATGGATCAGTGGGTATTTTGGATTTATATTGTCATGCTGTTGTACAAAAACCAATGATGATTCAAATGAAAATCATTAACAGCAATTTAAACATACAGTATCAAAACGAAGACGCGGCAGACTTTCATTACTTAAAATGGTCCCTCTTGATTTTGAACTAACTGGGACTATAAAAAGGAGAGCTGGTCCACCTGTTAAAATTACAAACTTTGCTTTACGGAATACCAGAAATACATGTGAATGCAAAATTTCTTCCTTTACCCTTTTTGCAGGCAAAAAGATGAGAGGTCTGCATCAGCTTTTAAGCTGAATCAAGCGAGCTTTTGAAAATGTTTTTGATGGTATTAATCCTGAAAAAACCCTACTGGAGTCCAACAAACCCTCTTTCAAGGCATATGGTTAACAGGTACATGAGCAACTGTTCTTCAAGGAGGGCTGGAAAGCACTGGCTTACTGATTTCACTCAAAACCACCAATCAATATCAGAGAATACAAGATAAAAACAGATGAACAATATTTGGTTATTTAATATGGTGGATTTATAAGTGGGTATTTCCCTAATAAAAAGCCTAACGGGAGATGGGAAATCCTGCAAACAAGCGATTTTGAGTATTTTTGCTACATTTGTATTACAGCATCCCCCGGACTTCAAAAACTTTCCCTCCTGTCATGAGAAAGCTGCTGTTCAAACAGCACCTTGTGATTCGGTTACTACTTTCAGTGCTTATGTCACACTTAGAAATGCAATGACATTTTTTTATTCAGGTAAATGACATTTAGAAGTGGCAGCTGGATCACAAAGTGCTGCTGGTAAAGATACATCACGAACAAGACATGAATTAAAGAAGGCGGCAATTTAAAATAGATCTTTCCACCCCCTCCAAAATTCTTCAGAAACCGAACAGCAATTACATTAATAACACACTGGTGGGTGGAGTAAAATAAACCCACAGATTTTTAAACCAAATCCACTCCCTGGGATAGGGACACAATTCATCCTGTTCCTCAGGAGACCATGACAACTGTTGGTGCTGCGACCAGCTGCTGGGCTCACATCTTTCTGAAGACTGACCACGAGGACAGGGAGGCTTGACTCTTCTCCCACACAGGGGAACACAGCCCTGGGACTTCTAACACAGGTCCTAGCAGACACGGGGATGAACAGAAGTTGAACAGATGAAGTTGGAGCTGACAGCAGTGTTTATCTTACAATGCAAGTAGAACACAGTGTTTTCTTTTCATGCCACATCAACTTCCTGCTTGTACCAAACCTTAAGTTTTTACCACCCCACAAAGTCACCAGGAGAGACACGCAGAAGAAGAAAAAAAAACTAAAGGCCAGAAAAAAGATGAGTAAGAGACAACTACAACATCTGCTGCTTTCACAGGTAACTCAAGAAGAGTCTCTGAAGGATCAGCTCCACATTTGACTCTTTCACAACCTTTTTGGAGGCTGCCACCTTAAAATGCGTAACTGATAAAATGCAAAATGTAAGAGAACAGCTTGGGAACTAGCGGGCAGCACTGCACACAGCGCTGAAGTACGATCCAATATTCCACCGTGTCTGATGGCACATTTACCCTTCCACTTTTTTCCTTCTTCCCCACAACAAGGCCATCAGAAAGATAAGAGTGTCTTCCAAAATTAAAGTCGCTCTGTGACTTTTTTTTCCATTACATTCTTTTGCACAGTCTTTTTGGTACTGGAAGCAGGACATAGTACTTGTTATGATAAAGTTGCCAAGTTCCATACTCTCGTCACACAACACTATGTTCCTAGTTCCTGAAAAGCAGGTATCCCTTCCTTCAAAGGGGGAGACAGAATTTGGGATCCCTCTGTTACAACCCTTCTGCTGCCCACCTGTACCCCTCCTTCTCCCTCCTCTCTTGGATCCAGAGCTAGGAAAAGAGACCCCTGAACTGAGAGATGCAAGGCTTTGCATGGAGGTCCATGTCTGCCTGCACTGAGTATGTGCCTGCAGAGCTCTATTCACAGTTCCACATCACTTTTTTCCAGACTATGTAGTATCAGTACTGAGGTATGTTATAAAATAGGCTAAGTCCCTCTTTTAAGGGAAAACAAGCAAACTTACCCTTACAAAGCAGGCATCAGCATGATGCACAGATGCACATACACCTCAACTGACTGAACCAAGGAGTCACAGACAAAAAGTTATTAATTACACAAATTCAATACCTACAATAGATTACACCCCATAACAGCTTCGAAGTGAGAAACCTGCCTTTTGAAGCAGTGCCAAGTGATTACAAAGTCTTTGATTTCTCTGTCTATTATCAGCACCACACCAAAAAAAATGCAAAACTACTGAAACAGAACAGATTAAACACATACCAAGATAGGTGGGAAGCACTGCTTAATTCAATAACTATTTAATTACAAAGCCATGTCAACTTGTTAAGCAAACCTTCTTCACCTGTTCTAACTTAACATCTAGAGATGATCTCTACTTGGTATAAGAAGGAAAAGAGAATCATTTACAGGCAAAGATGGTAATCATCAGTGACTTACCAAAAGTTCAACCGTGTCCGCTGATCAGATCTCAACTTCTACTCCAAAAAAAATAACAGAACAGAATCCTAGCCCCAAACTGTAACTAGAATCATGCAATTACCTAGAAAATGGAATAGTTTCGGTAGCACTGAGGCCCGTCACTTGCAAGAAAGTCTTTATTTACACAGCTGTCCTGCGTAGGAGTCTCAAGTGCTCTCTCAGCCCTTGTCCTCTTTCTGCAAAGATGTTACAGAAAAAATAGAGTAGAAAGCCTAGCAGCCTTCTTTGGACTCCCTGATCATCAACAGGACCCAATCTCCTGCTGTTAACATACCTATCCAGTTGTGACACCTATTCCTACACTGTAGTAACAAGCATAATGCATTCTTACCTACTGTGTGATTATCTAAAGTATACCCTATTACAGTTATCTTTACAAAACCAATTTCATCTATATAATCAAGATATTAATGCATACCCTAGCCTGCACATACCATTTCCCTCTCTCCAAATGCCTACAAGAACTGAACTTTCCTTTTGATCTCCTGTATAATACAGCTTCCTTTTTAAGGTACAGGG